AATTGTTAAGATATTTTGTTAAACTTACGGAAGGCTGCACGCAACATTATTTCCTGCGAAGGCAGACACGGGCAATTCATCCCGCCCATTTGTGGTACAAGGGCGGGATCCTCCTGCGGAGCGCGACTCCTCTCTGTAGGCCTAGATGTTTTTGCCCGACATCTGGAGGTTATTTCTCCCTCCGACGAATCGCTGCTCGAGTCTGTAGTTCTTGAGTTTATGATGTTTGGTCCTCTTGAGCTTGCCGAGCTTTTAGATTTTAATGGTCCAGGTCTTTTGGGTCCAATTCCACAAGTTTTTTTGCTGGGTCCACAAGTTTTTTTGCTGGGTCCAGCCTTGGGTCCACAAGTTTTTTTGCTAGGTCCAGCCTTGGGTCCAGTTTCACAATTTTTTTTGCTGGGCCCAGCCTTGGGTGGTTCATCTGTAGGTTCTTCTTGATCTTGTGGTTCCGGTTCAGGACCAGCCTTGGGTGATTCATCTGTAGGTTCTTCTTGATCTTGTGGTTCCGGTTCAGGACCAGCCTTGGGTGGTTCATCTGTAGTTTCTTTCCTTTGACATTTTTGGTATCGTCGTTGTATTGCATAATTTCTTTGAATGATTTGACAACATATCGTAAGTTATTTGTAAATGTTCTGGGGCTAGAGGAAAGTCATTCGTTTTATCGTGAATGGAGGTGGGGTATTCCAAATCGACCTCCATATTAAAACCCACCCTAGATGTGCAATCGTAATTAAAAACATTAAATCTCGAAACTTCTTCTCGACTTAACCATGAAAAATTTCCTAACGGTAGGCTCTGACACATTATATAACCATAGAGATTNATTGTGTATGTTAGGTATTTCAGTCAAAAAATTTTCAGTCTTGGCCTTTTTTCCAACTTGCACCCATGGCTGCACGTAACATTACTTCTTGCGAAGGCAGGCACGGGCAATTCATCCCGCCCATTTGTGCTACAAGAGCGGGATCCTCCTGCGGAGCGCGACTCTCTGTAGGGGCTGCTCGACATCTAGGTGTTATATTTTCTTCTGAAGAAGAATCGCTGCTTGAGTCTGATGTAGCTTGAGTTCTTGAGGGTCCGTTTATGATCACTGGTCCTGGTCTTGAGCTTGCAGGCTTGCTTCCAGACTTGGTTCCGCTTTTGGATTTTGAGGATCCAGGTTTGGATCCTCTCTTTGATGTACTCTTGGGTCCAGGACCACCTTTAACTCTGCTGGGCCCAGCCTTGGGTTGTTCACGTCCACCTTTAATTCTACTGGGCCCAGCCTTGGGTGGTTCAGTTCCACATTTAATTTTACTGGGCCCAGCCTTGGGTGGTTCCGGTTCAGGACCAGCCTTGGGTGGTTCNCTGTAGGTTGCCTTCGAATTTTTTGATATTTTCGTTGTATTTCTAAAATAAATAATAAAGTTTTACTTTAACATGTATTGAAATTTTGATAAATTCGATAAAAGAATATAAACTTTTATTTTTGAATTGTAGACATTGTATAAGTTCAACTTTTAGTATAAATAAAATGAACTTTTTTAATATATATAAAATTTTTATAGTAACATTTCATTCTATTCAGGGATGAGATTTTCCGCTTTTTTCAAATTTATCTCTTAAATTTCAGCTTTTTTATCAAAAATTCAGATTTTCTAAAAATTTAACTTTTTTATAATTATTCCACTTTTTTAGAAAATTTACCAATTTTCAAAGAGAAACAGAAAATTCAAACTACATAGCTACCAATCCTTTCTCATTTTACTTATTTTAGCTATTTTCTCCCCTTTTACATGCAGCAGATAAGATTTTCCAAATTTTTTACCCACCCTCCAGATAGATCCGATTTTCGTAGTTCAAACAATGCTGCTTCTGACAAGCCTTTTAGAGGTCCCAAGACTGGAATCTGCTAATATCTCGAATCTTATTCACACGATTTTAATATCAAACATAGCTTTTCATATTTGCGTGTTGTGATTCTCATTCACGCGATTTTAATATTGTACGTTGTGATTCTTATTTGCGAAATTTAAAATCCTGATATTGTGATTCGTATTTAGGCCTTTTTAAAAACCTATGTAGTGATTGGTATTCACGCAAGTTTAAAATTCAATGTCTTGATTTGCTCATGCGGTTTATAATATCAAACATTGATTTTCGTATTTATATGTAATTTTAAAATAAGGTTTTGGAATTCACATTCACGCATTCTAAAAATTATGCATCATAATTCTTATTTATGCAATCTAAAAATTATACATCATGATTCATATTTACGCGATCTAAAAATTATGAATCGTGATTTGATCGTGTTTTAAAAATTCTATATCCCAGTTT